CGGATCCTGTCAGGCTCCTTTGTGTGTGCTTGATGTTCTAGAGGTGGGCTGGCTCAACACTAATCCCTCGAGGGATGCTCAGCCAGCCCCAGACGCATGCGGCTAATATTCCAGACGTAATCAAAGGCTTTCTTTAATGCTGATCTAGGCCCTAATCCCCCCTTTCTGCCCATGTTGGGGTCTTGTCAGTGTTGTGATGTTGGCTTGAGCAGAGACATCGAGCTCTGTGAGTGCCTCTAGGCAGCCCAGCTAAACCACAGCATTGCTAACAAAAATTTTAAAAAAATAGATAAACACGCAAGGATCAGCTTCGAACCTGTCTGTATACATGGTAGGGGTGAAATATAGCTTTGTGATGCTGAGACTTACGCTAATTTGAACCGTTCTGCCTTGTGTCAGTTCATGGCATTTTCACATTTAAATGATCAAATTCAAGTATATAGTGTTTAAAAAAAAACTTTAAAACGTGTACTGTGTAATACAGTTTCCAGTTGTGTATAAATCACAGTAGATCTGATTTCTGAAATACATATGACATGGATGATATAACAATTTGAGAGGCCCTTTATTAATCCTTTCATTGTGATGTACCACCTGGCTGCTTTGCAATTAATTGAATATTGGAGAATGCATTTTATTAATACGAGCAAGGTATTTTATAAACTTCTTTTTAAAACATCTTATTGGTATCAGCTGCGAGAAGTAGGTAATTATCGGTCATTGTTATGACTGAAAAATAATCCATATTCTGCATCCCTAATATTTCTGCTATTGCTGTAGTAGGTAGAGGGAAAAGATGATGTTCAACGCAATAAACTGTGTTCCACTGGTTGAATTAATTAAACAATAATCATTCAACTTAAAACATGTCAAACAACCTATTCCTATTCATTGCATTGCATTCCAGATTTCTTGTGTGAAATTGGGGCTGCACGCTTACGGCCAAAATGATAATTACAATTATTTTGATATACTATACTTGATATAATACTGAGATCACAAACATTTCACAATTACAGAGCACTGCACTGCACTGGCGCCCCAAAACAAAAACATGGAGAAGACTTCTCAACACTGTGACCAGGCCACACAGAGCAGCGAGTCTGCCAGTGATTACAGTATGCAATGTGATAGGCCCTCACATTTGCTGAGGGTCAAGAAGGGCAGCGGCTGCCACAGTGCGACAGCCCAGTCAAACATGGCTCGGTCCACTTGTCGAGCTTGTTACTGACTCAGGCTGAATGTTTTAGCTATAGAATTCCTTAAGCGAGCAGAAAAACAAGAAACAAGCGTCTACGTTGACTGACAGATTGTTTCTGAGTGGAGTTTAGCTTTACACGAATGCCGCTAACAGCCGGAGCTCCATAAGAATAACCCGAGAGGTCAACAGCCTCTACCGACGGGAAAAACTGAGAAGGAAAAATAACTCGAATTCAATCATGAGCTGCTCCAACATCCCAAGCAAATGTGTGAGAAACTTAAGTAGGCTAGAAGCCTGGTGGGGCTGCCAGCTGAGCTGCCAACAACCTGGCCTGGTTCTGTACAGCAGCTGTGCCACTGCAGGTACGCACGCGCACTCACTCCTCTACGGATGGCTGACCCCGCCACGCAACCTAATAAAACAACAAGTGGTCACACTGAAATTAGAACTAAACAATATTCTCCCAAAAAATCTTTAAAACAATCATCCATCTTTGCTCTTTATATCTCAGCCTTCATTACCATCAGGTGTGCATGAACTACAGGTTATAAACCTCTTTTTAAAATACACTAGAAAACAGTGAAAAGTGCCCCACGTGATCCCACAGCCCAAATACAAAATGTACATGAAGTCAGTGTGATTGCCCAATAAAACACAGCTTCTACCAATCCAAACCTGCAGGAGACATTACTAAAACCGCACACCCAGCAGGCTGACTCCCTGTGGGCCAGGGCAGCGTGGGGTCCTGACACAGCATGAGCCAGACGAGCAGACGTTGCAGGCCAGAAAGGCTCTGGCTTGGACTTACTGGATGTCTGCGTACTGCCTTTGTGTGAAGCCATCTCCTCATATGTACAGTGCCCACAACAATGGCTACAGTATTTGGGGACAATGGTGATGAACTGGATTGTGAAAACATGATTGATAAGTAGGTCATGTCTTGTTGTCACTATGTGAGGCATGAACTCAGACAATCCTTCTCAACTGTACAAGCTTAGTTCATAGCTAGGTTTCTGGGTGTGCTTAACTGTCCTTTGATTTTTTCTGTGCCACGTGAAGTTGATACAAGGACCTGAAGAGAGTGAGTTACAGTAGGCAGGAGATGACATTTCACTAATTTAGACGTCGTGGCATTGGGATAAACAAGCTTTTCCTAGATAGCAAAAAAACATTTCCCGTTATTTAGGCTTCTACAAGGCTACAAATAAAAGCTTAAAACCTTTTCATACTACTACAGTTCAATTGGGAACTTGTATGAACATTTTACACTTTACAATAAGATTCAGGAAACTTGATTTAAACAAGTTTTCCACAATACCAAATTTAATACAACAGAGTATTTCACAAACCACGGTATAGAACATAATTAAATCTGGTCTATGATCTCAGTACATCTTCGCTCACTACTCAGGGTCCCTCCAAGGAATTGAAACAGAAGCTGCTGCCTTAAGCTGGTCCCTCGGGGGTGCGGCTGCAAGATTTCAAAAGCGCCAACGTCAAGGCAGAGCATAAAATTCTGAAAGTTATATGATCCAAGAGCTTAGAACAATATAATGCAATGCAAATGTGCAGAATACAATGCACAACAGACCAAAAAAAATCTACGAACACAAAAGATGGCTGTGCTTTCAAGTCTGATTCTTTAAAACGATTAAAAAGACATGGTGCTCGTCAAGAGGCCTATGCCATTTGGGCTGGGTGTGTTAAGTCACGAATGGATGCAAACAGCTCTCGTATCATAGTGTCAGGCCACAACAGGCCACTACGTGGACTGGTTAATGCGGACAGGCTGACGAGTTCTTGTGCCAAACGCAGAGCAAGAGGTTGTGAGATGAACCAGCCCACACCCCCAAACTGTGCTCGCCGGCAGCTGATGAGATCCCCTTGGGGCTCAAGGGGGTTAAGCAGGCAATAAAGAGCACCTGCCCTGAGTGTGAGGGCGGCGAGGAGGGAGGCGAGGCCAGGGGTCCTAATTTCTCTCCAAAATCCATCCAGCTAGGGGAATGTGCAAACTAAGGCAAGCTTGACATACTGTGGTCCACGACCAACTCCGCTTGTTGCCAGGAGGATTCAGAGCACTCGCCTGTGGCCAAGTCCTGATACCCACTGGCTGCAGCACTCATCAATGCCCCGCTGTCGGCTGGGTGCCAGCTTCACCACTCAGAGGGGCTGTCAGCTATCTGACATGTGGGGGAAAGCAGACACTGTAAAAGGCAGGGTGGCACAATGCATCCATGGGTGGCATGATCCAAAAATAGAAAACCAAGGAAGGAGTTATGTAAAAAACAAAAAAACAAAAAAAAACCTGATCATGAAAACCAATTTGGAAGAAAGTGACCAGATGGTACAGCAGCTTTTGAAATGATCTCTGAGCACAGGGCTGACTGGTAGTGTTTGGTGAGTGGGACCAATCAGGCTGTAAGTTGTATTTATTACGTGGTGGCTTGCATCGTGTACAAATAGTCGGCTAAATGTCTTGTCAGACAGAGAAAACTGGCTTTATGTAGTTACTGAAGACACAAATAAGTGCAATATTTTTAACATCATACTCGTTGGTACAAGTAAAACCCAACTATAACGTTACTAACGCTAACGAGGCTCCCATTACGTGCACTCAACGTTAGCTGAGGTTGATAGTTTTTGACTGTAGGTTATTTCTTCGATTCTGGTAAGTTTGCTTCAAAGGCAAACAACGAATTAAACAAAAAAACACGCCGCAAACAAAACAAAAAACCGCCAGAGTTGGTTTTCTAAGAGACGGACACACATGACTGTGGACGGGTCCTGTTATCATGTTGCGGGACGCAGACTGTTCAAACTGTAGCAGCGCTCTAGCTAGCGAGCAGCAGGCATTTCAACGCATTTTCGATTGGAAAATCTTAAGCAATGTCCGTCGTGGAGAAATGTACGGGCAGCAGTCCTCACTGGCCTCCGAGTCGCATTCATTTTTAACCTGACAAACATTTCATTTAGTCCACACCGAGACCCGCGCTACCTTTGGCAAAGCAGCCAATGCTAACCAGCCAAGCTAGCCCGCTAGCATGCCCGAGACAAAAGCCTGAATGAAGTTCCTATGGGTGCAAACACCATCCAGGTACCGCTGCTCTGCCACAAGTGTAAACGCCGGGATTCAAACACACGTATCGCTTTAAAAATAACCCTGACAATGTGCGCCTCTTCGAGGAAACGAGACAAACGAGCTTACCCCTCCTGGTCCAGCTTTTCTTTCTTCTGTGCTCTGTTTGAATGGTGTGTTGTTGTAGGAGGGCGTCCTGTTCCGGGGTCACATCCCTCCAGTCGGCACAGCTACGGCGAACTGAGTCAACGCAGAGCCAGAGTCCTGCTGGCTGTTCAGTACCGCAGCCGACCACCGGGGCCGCCACACACTGTAGGCTACATGGTCTCCACGATCTGTTACCAGACTTACTGTCTGCTTCCAATAAAAACACACATCTCGGAAAATACGAAAACACCTTGCTGATATGAATTCCAGTTTCTGTATTTAAGTGCACTTGTGTGTAAATGTGTTTCTGGTTTCATACATTATAGCACACAATATGCACATTCTTAATTTCTAAGCAATCTGACTACTCTGCAAGGAAACTAATGCCCACACACGTACATGTTCCAATGTCAAACTAGGTACACCTTTTTTATGTTATAAGATTGTACACCCTAAGATAATGCAATTTCTTATACTAGGGGTTCTCACCCTGGGGTCGGGGGACCCGCAGGGGTCCTTGAGAGTGTTCCAGGGGGTCCCCAGAAAAACTGAGAATATCATAAAAAAATAAAAGGGCCCCAGATAAGACGGTTGGGAATTGATAAAATGAATCATTTATTTACCTTTCTTTTGGTGATGTCACATAAGGCTGATATGCCTGACAGAGAACTGGATTATCAGATATTTTACACTTTGGTTAAGGGTTGGGGGGGAAGACATGTTTTTGTGAAGTGTGAACTCCCACACACTTTAACAGGCCATTGCTCTAAAATACAATTGAAAAGAGGGCTGACTGGTGGCTTTTGCCTTCATCTATGATCAACCTTTTTTAAGTTTCAAAACATAGAAAGAAAATAAAGCTAACATATGACTTAGAGCCTAGAAAGTTTCAGTGCACTCTGCTATTGCAAACTGTTTATTGAGTGCATGTTTCCCTCCCAACAGCAAGTGAAACAAATGTGAAAACAGGATGCGGACAAAGGACAGATCAGGAGGACTTATCCGTTTTAGCTGCACACATGAAAATGAGGCCTGAATATTAACAGATTTGTACCATTGGACAGAATTCATGAATTACAATAAATTCAAAAGGCAACAGCAGTATATTTTACAATTAGCTAAAGTAGCCCATCTACTTAAAATGACTCACTCCTCCTCAAAAGCAGCTTAAAGCAGCAGTGTTTAGCTGAGCCCATACTGAGGGACACTGACGGCCCATATTTAAAGTCTATTCCACAGTGAATATTTCAGTAGCTTTTAAATCTTCTTGCTGTGTAATCTACAGCTACACTTGCCCTTCTGTAAAAGTCATCATTGTAAAGAGACTCATACAAACGTTACAGATCATTTTAACTGCTATGCAAAATAAAAATGTTATGAAAAGCGTCTTCCTTACAGGACTGTCAGCTAGATATATAGCATGTAAAGTAGTCTGAATGGACCATAAAATTCAATCATAAAGCACACAGGCTTTGAAAGACAAACACAATTTTGCACAGCATTAGATATGTCCAAGTATAGAGGTGTTTGTCACTACAAGCATGAAATCTCTTGCACGGCACCTGGCACATCAGTTCAAAAATGGAATGTAAATTACACAGTACATAACTTAAATATCAGACAATTACAGGCACGCACACATACACACACACACACACACAGACTGCATCATCAGAGATAGTACACATAGTCCAGATTTACACTTTCATAAGGGCCATGTGTACAGTACCACCATTTTAGAAACAAAACCACACCTCTATGGCTTAAATGAGTCCACAGATTCCTATTTGGGTTGTAATGCCCCATGTATTCAATATTTTGTCTGATCCTTGGACCAAACATCTATATGATAGCTTTGCCTAGCGCCTGAAATCATTTCTTTTTCATTAGCTAATGGTAGTTGTCATTAAAGGAATAGTTTGACATTTGGGGTACTACACCTATTCACTTTCTTGCTGAGAGTTAGATGAGAAAAGCAATATCACTCTTATATGAACCTGGGGCCATGACACAGCTGATCTTAGTATAAAGACTATACTCGCTACATAATACTTCCAACGTGTCCTTTTTGCACTTTAGTAAACAAACAAAATGTAATGTGTTAATTGGTGAGCTGTAGATTTAGCTTTAGGTGCCTGTGGTCAGATTTAGTTATATTTCAACCATAGACTATATAATTAAAAATTGACTTGGTTTCTATGACATCACGCATAGGTTGCTGAGCTGTAGTGAAGCTCAGTGTTTTCGGCTCAGGCCGTTGCTATCTTGGCACTCCTGACTCCGCTGGCTCAGGACTAATACAAAAATAAACTGAGGCAGACCAAATGAAGCCTAGTTGCTAAAACCAGCCACCTGTGATGGCACGATCTTAATAACGTATAAGCCTTGGTATAATTTAAACAAGGGAGTTACATAAAAACACTTACGGTTGTCATGAACGGGGCATTTTTGCTACAGATACCAAAACCGTTAAATATGGAGCCTTATGGAGATTGACCACTTCTGGAGCCAGCCTCAAATGGCTGTTTCAGGAATAGTGCGTTGGTTTCATTTCTCGACCATGGAGGCTGCTGCTTGGTTCCAACAGAGCCAGCCAAGCTTTAGCCAAACTAAATGCCGCTGACTCCAGCTTCACATTAGACACACAGATATGAGTGGTACTGACCTTCCCATCCAACTTTCAACAAGAAAGCAAATTTTTTTATCAAAATGTCAAACTGTTCCCTAAATGCATAGTAGCTGTTTGGTAAGAGTTTTCTGGGTAACACAGCCAGGTACACAGGGGTGTTATCAAAATAAAGGTCCCATTTATACCACTTATCTTCTCATTTTACAATAAATTGTAAATGTTACAATGCTTCCTGTCTACTGGCACTAGAAAGGCATCATACTGCACTTCAAGGCAATATTACATCAATACAGCAGTAAAACACATCCCTCATGACTTTGTACAAGTACTTCAAAGCTAACAAAATAAATAAAATACAATAAAATAAAAAAAACAAGATGATATTGCAAAAGAGGCATTTGCAATGAGAAGAAATGACACAGCCATCGAGAGTTGTAAACCATACAAAAAACTTGAGATGAAACTGCCGCCCTTGTTATTGTACTTCGCGACTAAACAGTGTCGATTAAAGTCATCATAAAGTTGGTTCGCAGTTTGCTCCCTGCTGAGTAATGCGGTCGGTGAGATGAACTTTCAGTCTCTGCTTCTGTTTCAATGATTCATGATACTTTTGCATGAGCAGGTGGTTTTCAAGTAGCAATTTTAACACGTCAAAAAAGCACAGTTTATACGTTTTGTTGATGTGTCCTCAAGACAATCCATTGTTTGAGGGCAGAACAATGAGTGTGATGGATGTCCTTCATTGCTAAAGTATCTGTGTATTGAAACTATGTTCCATGATTACATCATTGTCTTTGGATGCCTCCACTTAGTCGTTATGCACCACAGACAGGCCAGTGAGATGTAAACATTTGCTGAGTCTCTTTGAATTCCATTAATAAAGTAAAATATTTGATTGTGTTTTCTTCCGTTTTATCTCCATAAGTTTAAAACCCAACATTTTTGGTCTTCAGGTTCCCTTGGAGCAGTGTTCTTCATGGTCTATTATCTTTGGCCAAGGAGTGCATCATCCAGTTGACCTTCGTCTTCCAGCTCTCCCGCAGAGCTTCGTTGAACTTCACTTTGAAATTCTTCAGTGCCTCTTCCTCTGATTTACCCAAAGCTAAAGAGTCCTTCAGAAAACAAGAAACCAAAACATTGTCAACATTATTATCATACCTCTCCTCCTCCTCCTCCTCCTCCTCCTCCTGCTCATCATCATCAGAAGCAGTATCATCATTGTTGCATACCTTTAGATACTGGATGTCTTTGAAGGAGGTGAGCTCTGGCAGTCCTGCTGCCTTCATCATAGCAAAGAGGTTGACAAACAGCATCCCATTGCGACACAGGATCTTATAGGCTCGCTCACAGTATTCCCTGAACCTGACAACATCAATCATAGGTTATAAAATATGCAAACAGAATTCCATATCACAAAAAAAAAAGATTTATTATTATCCACAATATTTTACCTCTCAAACTTCTCACTGTTGTTCGTTCGCCCTTGCTGGATCACATGGACAAAGTCATAAGTCAAGATAAAAGGCACACGCTCCCTGTTGATCCCTAGTTTCCGCTTGAAGTTGCCCAGGAAATGCCCAAAGTCAATGTGGAACAGCTGAGGAGCAAAGGTGAAAATTACGTCTGGTTCTGAATCACTGACCACAGTCACATTTCTTGAAGACTCACTAACTGGTGAGTGACCTGAATGATTACACTGAACACTTATCGGAATTAAATAAAGTATTTGTTGGCTAATTAGAAACTCAGAAACATTGCATCATCAATCTATAAAGTCAGGTTGAGCATTGGGTTAAGTACCACCCATTTCCCACTTTATGTCTAATCGCTCTCTTGTGGTACATTTCAGTACCGTAATGATTTCCAAGGATGAATGAGATCACAGTACCTGTCCAGTTTCCCTGATCATTATATTGTCATTGTGACGATCTCCAATGCCCAAGACGTAAGTAGCTACACAGTAGCCAGCACAGGACAGCGTGAACTCTTCTATTGCTTGATCAAGTTTGTCCCTGGAGACAAAAAGTATCAGAGAAAAAAGGAAGCAAAGCATGAGTGAGTTTTGTTCTTACACTACATTTACACTTCTCTTATCTATGTCACATATCCTGCATAACTACCACTCGCACACACACACGGTAGAATTTCCTCACTGCTATAAGAAATATTCACCGAAGAGCTACTGTGACCACTTAATGATTGACCGTCACATCCCTTCACGGTCTAGACGTGCAGAGGGTTTACTGTGTCAAGCTTTTACTAATTTTCTCCGCTCCAGTTTGGGTGCTGCAGCATTTCAAGCTAATTACCTTTCTGTTCTGTCGTGCAGTCAGCTGGGCCTGTCTTGCCAACGTGATGTACAAAGGCTTATTCATTACGTTGAATGGTTCTCTCTCTTCGAGGAGCTTTTAGAATAGACAAGACCTTCAGACTGTCTGGCACCAAATAAAAATCTACTCTCATTTACTGTTTCTGAAGCTGTAGTCACCTATGCACTTTGCGTTGGTCTGTCACTGTTTTAAAATGCTGCACACAATAAATACTTTGAAGTAAACAATTCAAACCACGCGCACAGACATAAAACATAAAACTTATATTGACCCATCATAGATGGAAAAAATAATTTTCTCCATGCTGTCAAAAAAAACGTACACACTGTACCTGTGTGTGACAACTACTATACTGTTTGATAATTAAGCACTATATAAAAATGTTATGTAGTTGTAAGCAGATGTTTTTTATAAATGTTTATGAATGTACAGTATTTGTCATGAATTATAACTTCTCCTTTAAAGACATATTTTCTATTTTTTTCTACATTGTCCTTCATTATCTGTTTTATCCCTTTATACACCAGCCTCTACTCATGCGTGTCGTTATAGTTGTTGACAAATAGATCAATAAACAATTAAAATGTCCTTGCATCTGTTTACAACTACCTGACAGCATGTTAAAGACCATTTATTAAAATAGGGAGATGGTTACAGTAAAGTGTTACCAGCAATACCAAAAATGTCCAAAACAAAGCCAGCGGATATGACAAATTTCACACCCTTATTGTGTTTCAATTCCCTACTGGATAAAAAGTGCTATAGTTAGTGCACTTTTATGGTAGTTTGTTTCACACATGCCGCAATGCACTTCGACACGTCATTTGTGAAGTAGTTATCGTCTTCAGAGCTATCGTTCCACCATTTTTTGCAGCTAAGGCTAACTCCTCGTCCCTGTTGTGCATTACAATGTGGAACAATGTTTCTCAATACACACAACAATTCTGCATGCCGACCTTGTTAAACAAACTTTACTCTACATTTTATGTGGGCAAACATACAGTATGTATTTGGGGCACAGCTTATGACAGAGCTGGCTAGGGAGCACATGGGGATCACCTCCATGAAGAACTGGGGAAGGTTAGTAGGGAGAAGGCTGTTTGGGTGGCTTTGCTCACCCTGTTGCCACTGTGTGACCCTGATCATGATAAACAATTAGAAAATGGATGGATGGATAAAACTCTTTGAACAGCAGGTGGTGCGCACATCCTAGGATTAAAGAGGGTCATCACTTCTACAGAGATCGATACAGTATCTTCATAGTAGAAGATGACATTCTGAGGCTATTGAGGCCAAAAGCAACCACTGTGTCAAACTTGTTTATCATACTCACTCAGGATTCTTAGATTTCAGCCAGTTAAGTAGGGCGTCCTTGTTGAAGGCAGCGGTGGCGGCACTGTTACTGCTGTTACGCTGGATATTGGCGATGGTGTCTGAGTTCTTCACTACCTCGATGAGCCCCATCTTGTTTCCAGTGGACAAGCAGGCATATGGGATCATCCTGTGAGTGTAGGGTGAAATGAACAGTGTCATGTTGGCCTGGAGGAGTTTCTTGTGTAAAAAGCATCAACAGCTGCTGCAAACAACTGCTCCCACTGTACCTGAGATCCAGGCCTTCTTTCTTCCATAAATTCTCCATGAGCTGGATCATCTGAAGGGTCAACATGTCTTGTCGAAGATCTGTGTAAAAGAAAGTAAATTAAATGAATTTCCACTAGGTACTTTTTGTCTTCTACCCTTCCTCCTCTTGAATTTAGGGGGTGTCCCTTTCCAAACTTGCTGGGTATGTTTATTTTTGCGGTACAGCCCCCGTATTTCAACACTTCAGTGTAATTCCAACACTGTGTGGCTACTGTTTGTTAATGTGTACTGAAAGCGTGTATACAGGTTTTCTTGTATCTCACCATCTCCATTCTTGAAGATGATGCCCACCATCTCTCCTTGAACCTGGGGGTTCTTATACAGCAGCCAGAGCGGCTTCATCTTGGAGTCCATAAACCTGCACTTATCTGCACTGCAATGTCAAACACACTCATTGTAAACACATGATCAATATAACTGTGCCAGCTTCATAGACTGAGGACAAAATGCACTTAAAAGGTGAGAAAATGTCTGTTTGTACAAAATATTTTTGATATATTGAGTTTTCAGCATTAACATTTATGCATTAATTAATATTATCTCTTGTGGGACAAAACACTGCTCAAAGGGGTGAAGAGGAACAGGTTGGAGATGCAGTAAAATGAATGTCAGCATCCTCATCTGTAAGGGGTTATGTGGTGAGAAGTAAGTATATAAGACTGCAAAGAGCAAGATTTAAAAAGTCTATTGGTGCTGTAACAACTAAGGGTTCATTTGTCAATATGCTACGTAAATGTATTATTTTGTAATTCAGTAAACCCAGAAAGGGAGCAAAACTGCAATGCAATTTGTAGTGTGTCTGTATGTGTGTGGCACTAACCAGATCTCAGTGAGGATGATGCTGGGGTTGAGTGGTGACAGCAGGTCTGACAGGGCCTCGAGGTAGGACTCCTGTCTGATACACAGCTTCAGGTCATCCACTGTCATCTTCTGGGAGCCGGACTTGACAAAGTCGCTCAGGGCCTTCATTTTGCCCAGGGCCTCGTTCTGTGGGGGATAGGTTGAGATTTAGCACAAAACAAAAACACACATTTCAGACCTTGATGTCAATGTGTATAAGTGTGTGAGATTACCTGTTTGGTTAAGAGCTTGATGTGGTGAATGTTTCCCCTGCAGTAGGCCTCCAGAATCAGTCCAAAACGCAAACTCACAGATGCCACATGAATCTCTGACCTATAATAAACACCAATTCTCTAGTCAAACAAAAGGCTGCAGACGCTTACTATCTTGTTATTTCTGCTGGACTGTGTCTCACCTGAGATGCCAAAACAGAAAGTGTCCTATCTTCCAGTTGGACAGAGCCCTCTCTAGCAGGAACGTGGTGAGGTCACAGTCTAGATAGGACTCATACTTCAGGACCTGGACCAGCTGGATTAAGTACTGTAGCAGTTCATCATCACTGTGAGCAGAGAAAATGTTCCATAAATGATTACGCTGTTAAAACACACAATGTTTGATGCCACATGGATATGAGCCAAAACCGAAATATGTGTGTACCTGAGCTTCCTGAGGCATCTGATGGTGAAAGAACGGACCGCTGGGTCGGGAAAACTGTAATCTAAGAGCTCCAAGGCATGAATGGCAGGAAGGTCAGGCCACTTCCTTAGTAAACTCACCATCTGCGGAGAAAGAAATGACCATTTACTACCACAATAACAATTAAAACTCTTTATTTGATGAAAGATTAAACTTGTCATGAGTGTTTCAGTGTATTTTCAAGACCTTTACTGGTTGGTAGTGCTGAAAACATAAATCTGCAGCTACTTTGATAATAAATTGAAACCTTTTTGGTTTTAGTTTCTCCAATGTGATGAGGCGATGCTTTTCTCTGCTTTGTTGATGAAATGTCTTTGGGTTTGGGACTGTTGGTTGGACAAATAAAATGAAGATTGTCTCCTAGGACTCTTGGAAATGGGTTGAGCAAGTTTTTAATGAGATAAACACCAAGGTGACATTTCAAGCAACACTGGTCTTCATCAGACTAGCGTGATAATGTATGGTGCAATCTTATATACAGTAAACATGATACAGTCACATGATGAACCGATTTGTTCATGTCATTATTTGCAAACTTTCGGTTCAGCACCTGCCCACGTTTGGTTTAGATGTGCGTACATACTCTCATTTTTATTTTTCAACCATGTATGTCAGCTTTTTTTCAGATAATAATTGTCCTCAAAGGATGAATCCTACTGACTTTTACTCTAGCCCCAGCAAGAGGTTCACATTATTGGTTGAGAATGAAGCAAAACATGGATCATTGTCAATTTGACCAACACTTTGGTTTATGACGAATACCTGCAATTGAATGCAATTCCTAACAGCCTCTGATGTACTTTATATTTAGTGCTAATTAGCTAATGTTAGCATGCTAACACTGAGATGGTGAACATGGGAAACATTAACCCTGCTAAACATTTAGCATGCTCACATTGTCATTGTGAGCATATTAGCATACTTTTTTCCAGGCATTTTGTGTGTTCTGCAAACATTTACAGTCATTTACAGTATACAGCCCATAGTGGGGACATTATCTTCCAGAACTCCCCATTTATACCTGAACTACGTCCTCACGCTTGTTCCACTTGGTGATGAGGAGCAGCTTGGACAGACTTTCCGGATAACGGTTGCGGACTTCTGTGCGAAGCTTCCACAAGAGCTCCTTCTCGTCCTCGAAAAACTCGGTGTAGTTTTTGTTGTCCATGATTTCTTTTAGTTTCATGTACTACGGAGAGCAAAACGACCCGAAAACATACTCATAAACAATATGTGGTCAGCAAGAAAAAGCGTGTGACAACGTGACATATAGAAGGTCTTACCTCTTCTTTAGTGGGAATAACTGCATCACCATTCTTCTCCACATCACTTATCTAAAAACAGATAAGGATCTTTTGACTGACTGTGATACAAATATAGCTTTCAGTATGTACTTTTGCCTTTTGAGAATTATGTACCTTGTCAAGTGGAGGGTAATAGAGAGGATGAGGCCGGATGTTGTGGAAGCGAATGAGAAGGCCCGCAGCACTGTCCACATTGGGGTTCTTCTCGACTGTTCCCATCGGGTTCAACAGATCACCTTTGTCATCTGTGATGAAAAATGTCATATATGAACTGTGACATTTCGTAGATGCTTTTATCCACTTTGTGAGTACATTTTCATCTTCAAATCGCTCCTGTATCTCTCAAACTGCTCTTCAGAACTGCAGAGAAAGACAAAATCATTTTATGCTACAGCCAAAGTGAATAGATAGATAGCTCTAATGTTAATACCAACAGTCATTTCCGTATCCAAAAAAGGCTATCTGGTACATCAGCAAACACATGAACGAATATGTGGGGTTTCGATGCTGCCACATGGTACTTTGGGTATTTCAGCCCTCATTGTGTGCTACCAGGCGCTGTGGAGGAGGCTGTTAACATGTGAGGTGTTTTTGAAGAGTAGGCGATGTAACGAGAGACAAGGCTGAAATTTACCAGGAACAGATGGCCAAGTAGACAAGAGGAACTCCCCAGTCTTCAGCTGGTCCTTGTAGTCGAACACCATGGTGTTCACCCAGGCTATCGGACAGTCCTGAAGAGTGGGAAAGGGAGGATTAGGTTTGTTTTGCTTTGAAGACCATCTGCAAACAGTAAAATCATGCCAAAAGAAAGCCAAAGAGGGACAAAAAGTACTCTCGTTTTACATAAAGGTTTGATCAGTTACAACATTGCAACATCCAAAAGACATTTTCATCAATGAATCTAAAATATATTGAATTATTAAACATCAGCTTTATTTTATATGTTCATTTAAATTCAAATCTTATAACATGAAGAAAATATTTTAATGACATAAAACTCATGGAAACTTTGACTTTATAATTCATTGTGTTAAATAATAAAATGTGAAGCAAACGACTTTGAAGCTTCTGGTAAAAAATTTACATAGCAATGTTATTTTCATGCGGTCTCAAGTATTAAATTTGGAATGTAAAAGCAACAAAAATGCAAATGAAATCCAGTCAGAGGTCAGCAGAAAAAGAATAGAACCACAACAATGCATTTAGGCTGAATGTACAGAGCTAAAAAAGGAGACACTTCGCGTAAAGTGAAGTGGCTAAAATAGTTTAACTTCTGGCTTCTGTCTGCAGGACTTCTCTTCCGGGCAAAAGAAGAGAGAAGTGGCTCTGAAAGCAGAAGTGGCCTTGATGCCCATAAACCCACCTGGGCCATATTTTGAGCAGACCTCCCTAACACGTTGCCAACAGTCACTGCAACGCTTCAAAACAAAAGACAGAGAGACCACAGCTGCAGAAAAAAGGGGAATTTATTGTTGTTCACTGTTTTTGTCAGTGCACAGTGAGTGGGTGTATGGAGGCTTTTTACAATGTAGTCTCTCAGTGTATTACTGTTGTAGTAGTAGTGTACTACTGCAACTAATAATAATCTTTATTATTAATATTTTCTGAAATAATAACTTTGTCTATGAAATAAAAAAAATTAAAATGTTCTTCACAATTTCCCAGAGCTTGATAATAAAATTGCTTCTTCTGTCTAACAAACTGTTGGTTTGACATTTTTGCTTAAAAAACTACTCATGAATTTAAGATCAAAATAGGTTCATCAATTCTCTGTCAATCCACTAATCGATTCAGTACTAAATGTAATAATTATTCTAAATGTAACACTTCCATTTCTGTCAAATTAGAGGTATATTAATGTGTATTCCTGTCTCTCTAAGGCTTATAATACTGCTGACAGTTATTTCACAAAATAAACGAATTAAATGAAAAAAGCAGCTGTACTTGTAATAAGTGCTCACGGTTCAATTCTTTGTCCATTCTAATTTATGCAAATGAATTATACTATTTCCACACAGGCGTACATATTTTATGCTGATGACACAATCTTGTATCTACATATTGCCCAAAAAGGTGCGTCATATAAATTTAGATACATTTCGCAGCTGTGAGCTAGTAGAGTTACTGCAGGGAGGCTGCAAAATTATTGTTTGATAATATTTTCAAAGTTATTATTTTTCAAAAGGTTAAATATGACTGAAAATACAAATGAACATGAATCCAACATATTACTAGAAAAGACAAATCCCACATGCATGTTTAAATTTGCATCATGTATATATGAATCTGTCTATAATTATTATTTTTTAAGCATATCACAGCATGTGTGCATGATAACAAGGTATGTTTATAAATGGCATTATGGACCGACCTACATGTAATTGAAGGCCCAGTTTAATATGCAAAACAATTTTATACAATGTAGAAGGGGTCCCTGCTCCATCTCTCCATTTCTTGGCCTGAAAAACGTTGGAAAAAAAAAACCTGCTGCTCTAGTCCCCTACTTAATAAGAAGCTACTGCACTGGCTCTCCACCTGCTTACTGACCTTGTTATTTACAGTTTACATCTTCATACATATATATTTTACCACTATCTGTTTATATCTGTACCATCACTGTGCACCTGTCTACCACAGTTTTATATTTAATTTATATTTTATATCATATCATATTGTATTCCTATATTTAACTTCTGCAATGTATGTCTTAGATTAACTTACGTAACGATTGCTTCACTGCAATTGTTGTGCATATGATAATAATGAACTTGAAACTAAACTGTCCACAGTACAGGCCTTAAATATGAGAAGTAAATTAAAAGGTGAAAGGCTCAGTGGGTGGAAGTGCTGTAAATACGAATGGCGACTGTGAAGATGCATTTAGAATTCCTTGAAAATGTTTGCCAATTCCTTCCTTCCTTGGTGTGATGTACAGATAAAAGAGCTGAAGCGGATGAAATGTTAACCGCAGCCTTGCCACTGAACACACTTGCACAACCAGACGCAGCAGCAAACACACCCACACAGCACCCACTGACTACGCACACTACACACTAGAGAGGAAACAGATCTGTTTGTGCTTGCTAACAAATTCACACCCACCAGCCCAAACACTCGCCTGCTCAATCACAAGTTGTACACTAAGGCCCCGAAAAACACCATGAGTTAGTGACGGACTCACCGCTTTCTTATTCTTCTTTTTGGTGCCTCTGGGTTTCTTGGCTTTCTCAATGACAGCATACAGAGCAAAGCACAGGCGGCTCATGCGAGGCAGGTCAGCCACGTTAATGTCAAACTCCAGCTTTTGATCCCACAGCGGCTCGGAGGACACTGCCACCTCTGGGCTTGTCACCACCTTACAGAGCAGTTCGCTGCCATGGAACAGACCTGCCTGCACCACAAGCTGGACCGGGAAACACACATACACACTAGTGATTAGATGAAGGCATGACATGTGGTTTGGAAGAGGCTGAAGAGTTAAGCACTTGTGTGAGGGAGATTGTTTGTGGAAGGTTTACAGACTTCACTAGATGATTCAGAGTTTCCTGTGTCACTCAAGCTATGAGTCAAAGGGTCTACACATTCATAATGTAAGCAGGTTGTGAGTCTGTCAAAAAGGATACAACCACAGGAGTCAAAATTCAATATTGTACAACCATTAAGCTCCTGCCTTTTGGTAAATCAAGATAGTCTGAATCTATATTTACCAAATACATGAGAGGATATTCTCCCCCAGGCTGTCTTTTCAAACATTTGCCTGCCAACTGCAGACATGACTGATAATTATGTGACAGGACAAATTTGCCATCAGTCATGATGTGCTCTAAGGCAGCAGCCGGAAGTGCACTTACACTTAATAATCCATCTAAACAGTAACATAGTTAGTTATGAAACTGAACCACAAACACAGACACACATTAACACAGTTCCCTACGTGTTTTTTTCTTGTTTGTCAAATTGGTTGGGAAAAAAAACCCCAACATGATATTGCAAAAAAAAAAAAAAATAACGGACATGGAAAAATGGAATATCCAGTCTTACTGGATATTTCTACATGCATTTGCCAGTCATTTACAGGGAAACATCTTAATTTTAACACCGGCACATTTCAACAATTGTTAGAGCCTATGTGCAATAGTAACATAATGCATGCATCGCCTTCAAAAAAGAAGTGCATTGAAAGCGAGAGAGGGAGAGACAGCTAGTCTGTTTTTTTTCTTAGAATCTAGGCCTCAGAATGAGACGTAAAAATCAGATAGGCCCTCCCCACTTCCTGTTTTGAAGTTTAACCAACCGCCTTGATGAATTATGGGAAACGTGTGGTCTGGACCATGTGACCCCGTCATTTACATGTCAACCCCGCTGTTCGTACAACTGAAATTGAGATATTGGTAAACAAGTGAATGCCACACTTCATTGAGCAGCAAAGTGAGAGAAAACCCACACAAAACCACACCAACCTTCATTCCTTCGTCTGCGTTGACTCGGCTGCCCTGCACTAGGTTAATGTAAAAAGGCTCATTGATGGACCACAAAGAAGAGGTGTTCTGCTGTAGGAAGGAGTCAGAAGAGAGGAAGTTTAAATTTTTCACTGTCATTCTTTACAATAAGACTACATTTATACCATTTACTAAAGTCTCAAGTCATGTAACTGTTGCTACAATTTCCTGTTTGGCAACGTGTCAAACGATAGAAACACAACAATGTACACTTTCAAAAGAAAGTAAAAAAGGGAACAAACTGCGAAACTGGAAGAAACTGACAAAAACCTAACCAAGGTACTTTTTTTTATCTTGGAATTTTATGGTTGCTGCTCATGTTTTTTTTTTTTTTGCGTTTATTTGCCACAACTTTAATTTTGCCAGTGCAGTCCCAAAGCAGGTAATAATATTCTCTATGCTCAACTACAGTCAATGCGAGCAAAGGCGTCAAGCGTAAATTATCAACACTGAGTTGGACCGCATGTTTCAAGTGTGCCAAAGTCCACAGTGCCAAACAACTACGATAAGGAGAGAAAGAGAGAGAGAAAGAGTGCTGCTCTGTTAATGATAGACGACATCTGTCTGTTGAATGCTTACCTTCTTCAGGGGCAGCGGAGGAGGTCTGGACAGGGAGCGACTCTTGTATACCTGGCTGCACATTCTGCGCTGCTCCTCCTGATATTTGCTGATGGTGGAGTGGTGCACCATGGTTAGATGAGGGTTTTGGCCGTTTCTCAAACATGAGAAAATGTACTGGGAGAAAAAAAGACAGATAGACAACAGGAGGGAACAGAAGAAGAGTTTTTTTGTTTACTGGTACAGTCATCAGTCAGTTCACCCACAGATATTTCCCAGTGTTCTGATAGCACTGGTTAACGGCTGGAGGCTGTTCATTTGCTGTAGGTTAATGCAGTCGAAATCTCATTATGTGTGGATGGATGCAGTTCCTCTCTGCAGGGCTGCTAGACAGATATGAGTCACCCCTGCAGGTAGCTGGAGTTTCAAAATCAACACTGGGGTCTCCTGCCACCAAAACCTTGACTCACCCCACTCATGATCTGACAATCATTTCACCTATTATGGACCACCTCACAGGCAGGATGCAGACAAAGAACACAGAAAATGAAAATCATCAACATCCACTAAGAAAATAACAGCTCTAGAGCCTATAGAAAGTGTCCACTGTTGCTCTGCTTTTTCATGTTCAATCATTTGTAATTAGGCATTTTGACATGTATCTAAATCACGCATAGTTAATTGATTGTATAATTATTTCCCTTCCAGATTTTAATGTTGCTCATAAAGTTGCCCAGTTGCTTTGCACAGCTTTACAAATTCACATTATATTTGGAATAATTTTTGTCCGGAGGCACATGAGAGCCTCTCAGACACAGGGGAAGAAAGTTTTATGGTCGGATGAGACCAGGATTTAGCCATTTGCTCGTCATACTGATTGTATAACTATGAAGCATCATGTTGTGGGGATGTTTTCTGAATGAGAGTTTTGAGAAACGATTAATTTTCCATTAACAACCCCAAACATAAAGACCACGCTAAACAGGAATCATTTCAAAACAACAATGCTATAGTCCGCATGTCCAAATTCAGAACTTGCGGCAGGGCATTTCTCCTCCTTCAACTGCCTCATGCAACTTTCCCCTTTTATCTTACCATTCATATAGTCTCAAGACTAATTGCTGCCAAAGGTGCCTCTTTACTTCATGTTGAGAGGGTGAATAAATGTATTTATATTATAAATGTGTTTATAAGGTTAATAAAAAATTAAATATGAACAAAACCAAAAAATATGGAAAAGGGAGCTGTATTGTCATACAAAACTTCTCCAGTCACTCACTTTGAACTGGCACAAGGGGTGTTTCCCATAGATGAACTCCCACCTCCCGTTGACCTGTAAGGTGTAGTCCTCAGGCTCCTGTCGCACTGAGCGAAAGACGGTGGCCTTCTTCTTCACGGCGCTTCTCATCAGAACCACTGGGAAATCCTGAGGGTCCTGCTGCAGCATGAAGCTTTCCTGTGAGAGCCACAGACAACTTAATACAAATTTTGTGGTGTGGGAGGGGGATTTCCAAAGGTGCTCACATTTACTTAAAATCATCCTCCACAATTTGTCTACACAAGGTGGAATCACAGTTTTTCCAATCAATGCTGTTGTTGTGCTGGAGTTCCCTGCTGCTGCCCCATCATACTATAACATTTGAATTGATTTGTCTTAGTAACCTTCACAAATATGACTCATAAAAGCTACAACAGCAGATCAACTCACATCACAAGCCTCAAACTTGACGTTGATGAAAATCTTGGTGCTTTTTGACTTTATGCTCCCACTCATGGGCGGAGAGCAGCATGGCTCCAGGTCACATGGGAAGCTGTATTCCATCCACTGCTGCCACGGCAACATCTGCCGTTCCTGAGCCTTCTCTTCGCAAAACGTACGCATCTTAGTCCGAAACTCATTCACCTCGTGGTTCTTCTGAGCTTCAAACTCATGCAGGCCTGAAAAAATCATAATAAAAACATCAAAAATACAAGTCTTGTACAGTGAGAGGAACATTTCACTCAATGTGAAAGATTTAGTTGTACAAACATTAACTGGCTCTACCTGATATGTTTTTATTTATTGAAACTTAAACCAACAAAAAGGAGTTTTTAAGTGGTTATACAATGGTCTCAATTAGCCCACAATACTATCAGCAAGAAGGTTATTTAATAACTGCCACTGGGTTGGATTCAGTTAGATTTCCCTTGTAATCAAATAAATAAGGCGGTGGAAATATTTTTGTCCAAAGGGGCAGACAGAATCAACAAAACCGAAAGTTCCTTGTTCCTGCTTTAAAAAAGCATAAAAATACAGCTTTTCTGACTGTGAAACCTGACGATGAAGGCAAAGAAGACTATATGAAGAAGTCAAAAACTCTACTAATGCATTAGTAAACGATTTTCAGGTTAGCTACATTACCACATTGCTAACCAGTAACTTGCCGACCTTCCAAGATGGTGAACGTCCGTATTCAAGAACGTGAATACGGACAAAGAACAAACTGCTTTTTTGTTCAGAGTTAGGTTTTGTTTTCTAACTGCGCAGAAAAATAGTGGCTACTTGCGTCTGTCCATTAACTCTTTAACTAGCCAATAGAATGATTTCTGCCTTCAGAGCAGCTCTAACCCAGTCTAGTCCCAGACCTCTGAATCACTGTCACATCTTAGTGCTGCCATTGTCCTTGTTGTGATGGCTGTTCCCCTGGTCAAAAAAAGAACAGCCAATCAGAGCTCTGTCTGCAGGATTGAGGATGGGTCACCTTGCCTTGAGATCGATGCCGCTGTACAGGTCGTTGTAAGTCCACTTACATAAATAGCAATTCTTAAAACATCATATTTCTTCAATCGATGTGAAATGCCATTTAATTTCCCTTCATTGCTGTATTCAATATTTTAATCAATTATTCTGTTTGCACCACTGAGCACATCAAAGATGTGGACAGTGAGGACTGGAACCAGGCTACAGCTGAAACATTTACATGACAATAATCACATTCTTTCTGATGACGACAGAAGACCATCTTATACTGAGTAACTGCACAACAGTATCACCGACCACCATTAACCTCTGTGAGCCTAATGTGACTCTGGTAGCAGCTCTATCAGAGAAAGGATGCTGCTAACCTTTGCCAATTAACAGGCTGATTTGGGTGTTGGTGAGTTTCTCCACTCGGTCGCCTTCCCTCGCCACCAGCCTCAGAACACACATGAAGGGCCGCACATCACTTATACGCCTAGATTCCTCCTCCAGTTCCTCCCTCTCTGCTGTCTGGTTGATGCAGGTGAAGACGTATGCGTCGGGATCACCCAATCCACTGAACAGGGCCTCGCTTCTGGCATTTTTCCAAACCATCTGAAACAAGAGACAAAAGCAATGCATGAGGTGGAGAGCGCAGTGTTTATGGCCTGAAGTGTACAGCGTGTTCTCTGTGTATATAAAATGTACGCTTGAGGGGTTGTGTATACACCTCAGCCATCACGTCATTACTATTTCCAAAAGCAGGAGAAACTGTGAACTAAAGTGCCAGTGCTGTTAAACAATAACATATTTTGCCACCGCTCTGATTTCTCAAATGAGCTAGAATGACAACGCATTGTGCAAAAAATTAACCCTGGCAATTTCTGAACATTTTCTAGAATTTCTTGTGAATTACCTCGATTGGAAAGACATTTAATCTCTTAATCATCTTAACAGCTTCCAAGAGTATCATTACTTAACAAAGCTAAATCAAACAGCCTGAAGTGGCAGAACTGTTGGCATAGAAACTGGCACATTCACGTTTTAACAGCAGATCTGCTTCAGCGGAGAGCTGGCCGTGTATACCAAGGAGGAAATCTGTAGCTCCTTCTATTACAGTTGCATCAAAACTTCAAGATGAATCAGAAGCACAAGCGAGCATTGTTCGGACTGTGTGATGTTTTAATTAGTTTAATGTCTGAAGAAAGTATTATGTCAACCAATTTGCTTAAAAGCGTATTGAGTAAATATTGTAAATAACAACAGCGTTTCGCAACTGTGGTCATCAGAGCCGCAGCTCTGAGCTGCAGTTAATCAATTGCAATCTAAAAATACAGTGTTATCTTATAACGGATAGCATGCATGATTATACAACATAATTATATCAGTGGTAAAAAATAAACAAATGGCCATGTGAGGGGACATACTTTTTTGATGTTTTTGATGGTCTCATTTCCAGACACAGGGAATTTGAGGAAGATCCCAGTAGGCAGCAGGAAGTCCATCAAGATCTCCTGGTCCCCCTCCTTCTCCCATTCCTCCTGCATCCCATACTTCCCCGGGGGCATGGTGACGGCCTCTCATTTACCGTCAGCTCCTCTGCTGCTCACCGGAACACAAGCCGGCCGTCCACATACAGGAAACACAGCCAGGGTTAATATGTCCACTATTAACATGCGTTTACAGTACATGAACCAGTGCAGTGCGCTTCGTGCTGTAACGCTGTTCTGTTTGCTTGTTTCTAAAACCCTGAAAGATCTGTCTTCACAGGGTTGTTTATTGTAAATTGTAAGGCACATGCAGAGTGTGTATGACATGACATTCTCTCAGTCATTCACACTGTGGCTGATGAACAGGAGCTCTGAGGTTGTTTGCACCTGATCCCTTCACCACCTCCTCAATGCAGCTTAATGCATATATAATAATATTATATATATATATATATATATATATATATATATATGTGACC